TGAATAAACGACTTATATTACCTCATCTTACACGATCAAATTATAACTTATAGTCCATTTAATGGTGATGTAAGGAAATTGTAAATAATTTGTAAAATAAAAATACTTTTTTTATTATATATAAGTAATAAAATATCATATTACAATAAAATATTACATTAATGGTTCGCATTTTTAAATAATTGACAAAAATATGAAAATTACATAATAAAATATTATATTATTGGTCCGCGTTTTTAAATATAAATTATTGACATCAATATAAAATGTCATATTACAATAAAATATTACATTATTAACGAAAAATTAATCTCCGGGCTGCTTTACGTGCTACGAATGCCCTCGTCCTCGGTCTGGTTACTTCAGACTAAAAAAAATTGTTTTCTTTAGTATAAAATAATATGTAAAAATAAAATCGTATTACCTCAATTTCGATCGAAGAAGCTAACCATCCCATTGCCAATTGTTTGACTGCCTTGATTTTCAAATCTGCTACGAAACAACGACCAGTTAACTTAAGTTGTTTTTTCAATTCTTGGACATCGATACGGTATAAATAATCTTCAGCTTCGCTTATTTTTGTATCTTTGGGTAACGGCATTTCCTTTCCAAGATACCTTGAAATACCACAGGACTGACCTAATACACTAGGCCGTATATATATATTTTTCATCTGAATAACTTCTTCCACGGCATCATTTAATTGCAAGATCCTCGAAACATTTGCTTTAGTTAATCGTACATGTTGATCCTGTTGCAAACACTTTATCGAGAGAACGTTGTCACCGTTGTATTTATCTACTGAAGCCAATTTAAGCTCCTTCAGCATTAAATGAGATGGAAGTGAAAAATTTATGTAGTTAAAAGCTATATTAATTAGAGATTTATAGAATTCAATACTCATTTTAACACACTGCGAGTTATTTGAGATGCATATAACGCAATTAAACAAAAAATCAGGATCTAATCCTATATTTATAAAAATATTGCTATCAATAAAGAATGTAGTACAATCGATCAGATTATTAGCCATTTTTGTTAGATACGTTCAAAACTGTCTCGAAATAAGTTAGCAATCGGGTACGCACACGACTCGTTTGACGGAAGACTCACGGCTGTATTGAAATAAGTCTGTGTCGCCCTTTTAAACAGTGCCACCGAGCGCTCGTTAAGAGTAGGGGTGAATCCCCACTCTACAGTAAGTTACATGGTGGGGGTATGTATAAGAAAATAAAACAAGTTATGATATATAGAATATTTATTATCATTATTAATAAAATAATGGTGTAATACACTGAGTAGATGGATTTGCTGACTTGCAGTTGAACAGAGATGGTGGGGATGATGGCCGTCTGTTGAAATATGTCGGACCGTCGTTCTCATCAAAAGCCTATAAAAAATGAATGATTATTCATCATACAAATTATATTTTTTATGTATATTACCTTTGGTTTAGTTTTCCGAAGTTTAGCAGGATTCATCGAATGGGTTATTTCCTTGAACCTTCTCTCCTCGTCAGCTGCCTAAAAATTAAATTACATTTAATACTGAAATATTTTATTATTTTAATTTTAAATTACTCGTGACTGTGATAAATCGTCTTCGTTATATGTCATTAATGGATTCATACTTGAGTATCTTGGTGGGGATGACTGCAGCATTTCCACGTCAAAGGTCTCCGTATAATACTAAAATAAATAGAAAATAAGTTATCATAATAAAAAAAAGTTATATATTATTACCTTTAAATCGTTTGCTTCAGGCCTCCTCTGGGTAGGCGGGAGAAATTTTATCAGTTCATCATCATCATCATCATCATCATTTTCATCCACAGCCTAATTGAATGCATATGTTAAATAACTTTTTTAATATATATATATATATATTCTTACTTTTGGCAAATTCTTCGTCATCCAATTGATAGCTAGCTGTTCAGTCGCGAATAATTTGATCTGGCTTATAAAACTATGTTTGTGCTTCGGTAAATGCATTGCGATTAACTCGATATCAATTCCTTTGATTATTGTTTTTACTTCTTCCAGTGTCACAGATTTATCAATATTAAAATCAGTATTAAAGTATTCGGATATTTGTTCGAGTTGATTTAAAATAATAGGTTTTACGATATCGTTTTTTCTTGAAATTGTTTCGAAAATGACCCACTCTAATTCTTGAATTGTCATAAGATCTCTACGACTTAATATGATTCTACATCCGTTTGTTGTTTTTGACTCTATAACCAACACATGCTCTCCTTTATACACCATACTTGTAAGCAAAGCGACTTCATCTTCCAAAAAAATAATTTTTTTATATTTTACAACAGGATCGAGAACGTGTGACAAAACATGGCCCATGACTGAATAAATTCGTTTCAAGAAGTCTGATGAAATTTTTACATACCGTGACGGTGTAATTATTTGCAAAACGATATTGAACTGATCTTTTGGATCGAATCCGATGTTCAAGAATTTGCGATTTTTAAAGTCTATTGTAAAATTAGAGCAATCCATGAGTTCATGTGGAGATGTAGGTGCAACATAATTGTATACCCGTTTCATTTCACTTATTGGTCCTGCCATATTTATAAGCAATATACTGAGACTTACAACTTGACGCTGTTAAATCAAAACTGAGACTGAATATTCACACGATAGAGTATTAATTGTTAAACCATGTATGTAGTGGGGGGTTATGTATAATGTGTTTGGTAGTGGGGATTAGGTAAATAATGTGTTCAGCATTTACATGTATATATATATAATAAAGGTAGTGTGTTGCACAATTATATGCGGATACCCTGTTATACATGTGCACTCGTATTATTATTTGTTAACAGTAATGTGATAAGTGATATCAGTTTAGGGCAGAACTGCTCGCGGTTATATATGATAACGCATAGTAGCACACGTACGCGATCGGGCTGTTGACGGTGGTGGTGGTGGAGAAGTAGGGGAGAGGCGGTGTCGGTAGCGGGCTATCTATGGCTGGGTGGTGAAGTGGGGAGGTGGCGGTGGCGGCGGCGGTAGGGATTTTTGAGTGAATGAATAGTCACTATTCATTACTGTCCGCAGTTGGTGTTATAGTGCTCTATTATATACATCTCGTTCGCTCTGCGCTAATACTACGCACGTAATTATTATATAACGTATTAAAGAATGTAGTACAATCGATCAGATTAGCTGGCGGCGATGGTGGTGAATATTTGTAAGTTTTCTTGTAAATATTTTCCATATTTTCAATTGGACCAGCCATATTTATTTTACGCACTGAGAAATAATTATGATTTTAACACTGAATATGAGACAAGCACACGCGAAACACTTGGAACGATTATATAGAGTGACTGAATTTATGTTGTGTAGTTGTGTTCATAAACGAGCAAAAATATACCAGTAGATTATTTTGTGTTAAAGTCACTGTGATAACTGATAACGCACCGGAGGGTTCGCGCGCGCGTTCGCGGCGGCTCTTGGTATGGTATAGTGGTGGGGGAAATTATTTTATGTTGTGTAGTTGCGTTCATAAACGAGCAAATTAAATATTAATTGGTGGGGGAGACATCGAAAAGTCCCTACAGGTTAATCGGGAGGGGGTAAATGGTATAGTGGTGGGGGAAATTATACCTCGCGTACGTAAGCGGACGCCGGTTAAATGAGATAGAATATACCTTCTCAAACAGATGCGAGTAGGCGGCCCAGTGGTACGGTTGTCGCTTATCATGCAAGTTAACCGGGTTCGAATCACGGTCCGGCGGATAAATTTTTAAATTATTTTCCACGCGCGGTGGTCATAGGTGGTGGGGTGGCGGGGGTACATCGTGTGTGATATATGGTGGGTTCAGCAGCCGTCAATGTATAGGGATGAGCAGACGGGTATAGTGGGATGAGCAGACGGGTATAGTGGGATGAGCAGACGGTATAGTGGGATGAGCAGACGGGTATAGTGGGATGAGCAGATGGGTAAAGTGGGATGAGCAGGCGGGTATAGGAAATTGCCAGCAGGATGAGGTTCCAGAACTCTCTTTTTTAACCTACTACTATATAAGTATTTATAGTCTTAGAGGTACTTTCAGATGATTTCATATTTTTTATAAAATATGTTTTTATCTTATAAAATATCAACTGAACCTATTTTCATGTTTTATGTTAGTTAATTTATATAGCATGCATTTTACACCTAAGCATTTAAAGAACTTTAAAAATTAAAATACTCAACTGTTTTCTTTGTCGAAGTATATTTTGATTTTTGGTTAAATATAATTCACACTAAAAAAATATATTATGCTGAAAAATGCAGGCAAATCACGTCCAAACGACGATTCTTAGTTCTTACGTTCTATTGCCTTCAAACTACACATGGGTGGTAGCGAATTTCTTTCGTTGAAAAATGTTGTGGTCTTACACCAGTACACCACTCTCATCTCGACTTGATTATAATGATGTTTTATTTCTCTACAAATTACTAAACAGTAAAGTAGTGTGTCCCGAATTTCTAAACAAGATCAATTTTCATGTCCCAACACCTAATGATCAACACTAGCACAAAAATAGATTCTCCACAGGCCACAGAAACCTGTACACACACATATTTGTCCTAAACAGTCCTATTAATCGAATTGTAAATGATTGTAAATTGTAATAACTAATAACTTATAACTAAAGACCGGATTTATATGCATTTAAAATGTTAAAATATGCATGCAAATATGCACTTAAAAAGTTCTGAATATGCACTTAAAAATCATAAAACATGCAAAATAATTTTTGATTATTACAGCTTTTTATTTATGGTAAAATTATAAAATCAAAACATTTATGACGAAAATATGCACTTAAATATCACAAAACATGCAAAATAAATTTTTATTACCTATTACAGCTTTTTATTTATGGAAAATTTATAAAATCAAAACATTTATGATGAAAAAAAAATAATAAACTACAATATTATATACAATATATTTTATGAATTTATGATTGTGATAAAAAATATATAATTTATTTGTTATTGGAAAAACAATAAGTAACAATAATATGTTCCATATTGATCTCAGTTAAATTATGACGGCGATTTGTGACAATATGTTTGTATGCAGAAAAACTTCGTTCCACATCAACACTTGTTATGGGTGCATATTTAAAACTTGACAACATTTCCGGGGAAAAGTGTTTGATAGAAGAACTTAAGTCAACATTCTCACCTTGGTGTATTTTAGAAATTTCTTTTAAAATTAGCAGGCCTTTGTTTTTTTTAATAATGTCGGAACATTTTTTTTTAATTAATACGCTATTTTCATTTTCTGAAAGATTATTGATAGCATTTGTAACTTGTTCAAATATTTCTAAAGCATTTATGAGTAGCAAACCTGAAGTCTCAAGCTTTTTAATACTTTCAACAATAACCGAAAAATTTGTTTTAATATAAGTTAAATCGTTAATTATATTTGATTTAGTTAGAATTTGCTTACAGTTTTTAATGCTTTTTACATCGTCTTCTGGTAGGCTTTGTATAACATTTTTAAAATTTTCGAAATTATCTGCATAAAATATTGCTGATTCTAACCAAGCACCCCATCGTGTTATTATAGGTTGGGGCGGTAATGGTTTATTAGGTAGCATTTCATGATATAATTGAATTCTATAAGGAGCTTTCAAAAAAATCTTTTTTCCGTTGTTAATTAAATCGTTTATTTCATGAAAAATATCCATAATATTTTCTGCAATCCGATGAATCCCGTGAGCAGCACAAGTCACATGAATAAGATTGGAATAAAATGGTTTTAAATTTTTGGCAGCCTTAACCATATATGGGGCTGCATCGGATAACATTAACAAAACTTTTTCGTCATTACCTCCCTCTGGCCATAATATTCTAAGACAATCATTTACAAATTTTGCTATAGTATTATTGTTTGTTTTTTCAAGAACTTTAGATGCTAAAAGATAAGATTTTGATGGTGAATCAACATTTAACTTTCCAACAATAAAATTCGCAACATATTTGCCTCGTGGGTCAGTAGTTTCATCGATACAAAAATATATGAATGAACTTCCTATGTTTTCTCGTATTTTTGTTAAAATATCTGTGTAACATTTGATTACATAATTCTTTCTTAGGGTACTTTCATCAGGTATATGTAGATGAGTATATTTCTCCAAAAAAGACCTAAAATTGGTATTTTGTAATTTATGCAGTGGTATGTTAGAAGAAATCATAGCTGAACAAAGTTCTTGGAAAAATACTGATTGATTTTCACTTGAAGTTGACTGTTGGTTAACGAATGTTTGTTTAGAAGTTGGAGTTTTTGAATATTTTTCGTGTGAAAATGACTTAACATGCTGATCAATTTGAAACTTTTTTTCTACTACGACTACTTTATTACAATACTGACAAAAAACTGAATTATTATTTAAGGTTTTGAAAACCTCACCTGATTTATTATACGGTTCAATCCATTTTCTAAGTGATGGTAATTTTGAACTTGGAAACTTTGGCATTGTAATTTAAAAACACAAACAATGTTATATAAAATTAATATGTGTTTATTTAGAACTACGTTGACGTCGTTGACTATTGCCGAATGTACACTTCGAACTACAGTCGTTAGTCTGTCAGTCTGTGTTCTGTAGTATAAATAAACGATAGTCGATAACTTGATAATGTTAGATAAGATAAAACTATACGACGGGAAAATCAGTATACAATCTGCCTATTATATTTTTAAAAATATTTTCAATTTTTGTGTTTTGAACAAATTTGTGTATAATAATGGTACATACAGTTATAAAATTAAATAAAAATATTTAAATATATACGTAATATGCAAAAACATGCATTTTTATGGAAAATATGCACTTGTACCCAAAATATGCAAAAATATGCAAAATAAAAATTTGTAACATTATTTATTTAACTATGATTGATGAAAATCCATTTACTGCATGTAATAGCTTATAAAAATATGAATATGCATAATATGCTAAATCCGGTCTTTAGTAATAACTAATATGATATACATAATACATAATATGTATTATGTATATCATATATTATATGATTGTTTTTAGCAGCTCGTAGCCAGTAACAGCATTTACGAAAATATTATAATATTTTAAAAGTATGAGATACCTACCGATTTGTTTAAATATTGTCCCAAACAATTATCAAAGTTATCAAAATAGTGGTTTCAATTTATTTTTTGAATTAGAAATTTATAAAAATGTTTTTGTTAAAAGATTTAAAAATTTAACACGAGATTCTCTATTTCTCTATAGTTTTTCAACCTATTAAAAAAAAAAAAAAAAATATTTACCGGAAAGTCAAACTAATTTTTATGAGTGTTTAAAATTAGCCATTGTATATTGACACGTAAAATAACGATACTATATAAAAAACATTTTCTTATTTTATCGTAGTTAAAAAAACAAATGACCGTAGAAACATGCAATTTTCACTGGCCGTTGGATATTATCATTTTCTATAAAGTATAAACCATTCAATTTTAAAAATATTTGAATTCTTTTTAAGCTATAATTAAAGCCATAAGACATTTTTTTATAAATATCGATACAAAAATCTTCATTGGATAAATAAGCTTGAAAATGTAATACAATGATTCTTATAAGTTATTGTAAAAGCAGTTCGAAAGTTCAAAAAATACATATATCCACGATAATAGGCACGATTTTTTTGTAAAAACTTAATTTATATTTTATAGTTCAGACTTTGACAACATTCATTAAAGATCTTGAAAATATACAAATTATTTTACATTTAAAAATGTATAATAATATGTTTAGTTTTTATAGATATGGATTGAAAATTGAATACAAGTTTTTTTCGTAATTAGTTAATTATGTATTTGTGTGCACAACAAATCTAAAAATTATATGACCATAGGTTTTTTTGTAGATATTCTACGTTCAAACTTGGATAAAATTGCATAGGTATTTGTAATTCACAAAGTACCTATATGTAAATATGTAATAATATTTAAGCACACAATGACATTTTAAAATGCAATGTTTTCAGCAAAAATTGATTCACCCTACTGTATTACATATACTAAAATAAATTACTTTTATATCAATAATATCGAATAATCATACTTTTTGCCTTCGCTGAGAATCGTTTTTTATATTCAATGATTTATCATTGCAATCAAATTTAATACATTATCCTGTTCAATGACCCACTCAAAAACTTATGTTCAGCAAAAAAAAATTAATAATTATGCAAATTAAACAGTGAATTTTTAACTCTTTAAAATCAATTGGGTGTTGTAGGTAAGTCGTTAGATAAGAAACAAAAATTATATTTTTACCAGAATTATTTAAAAGGTATAATACGATTAGTACAATGGTTGGAAATTTTGTTTCTAACGATGTTCGGTTAAATTTTCAAGTGATTTGACCCAACCAAAATTGTTCTATCGACATTTATGGAAAAAAAAGGCTGGTAAGTGGATGTTGCTCTACTGTATATAGTTAATGGGTCACTATAATGGATGATGTTAAATTTGAATACAATGATATTCAGTGATGGGAAGGTTCTTTCTAAAAATGAATTAGTTCAAGTTCAAGTTCAAGACATTAAATATGAACTAGTTCAAGTTCTAGTTCATAGTTTTTAGAATGAACTAGTTCAAGTTCTAGTTCATCTAGAATAGTTCATAGTTTTTAAAATTATAATCAAAAATTATAAAATGTTACTAAAGAAAATAAAAAAAAAAAATAGGTACGTGAAAACGACTGCCGACTATGCGTCGAAAATTAAATTGTCAATGAACGAACCCAAAACGTTCAAAATCATAATTAATAAGAACTTAGTTCACGTTCAAGTTCATCTCTTGAAAATCGAACTCGTTCATGTCAAGTTCACACAATATGAACGCGTTCAAGTGAACGCGTTCTTTCCCATCACTGATGATATTATATCATTGTATACGAAAAATGATTTTCAACGGAGACGGTTTGTCAGTCTACGATATTTTATACATTTTGAACTACAAAAAAATGTGCAAACATTCGAGATTTTGATGTATTCGGTCAACATTTTAACTTTAAATGCTTATTATTTTAAGCCAAATTTAGAACAACTTACGGAAAAAATACATTACATTTTGAAAAAACCAACAATTTCTTAGGCCTACAGTTAGCTGAAAACGTGGCAACATATTTTTAAATTGTTGGATTTGCAGAAAATGATAATCTTACAATTGGTGAAATTTTCAAATGTATGCGGTTATTTCTTTTTAAATTACATCATAATAAGAAATTGGTTCCCGGAAAAACGGTTGAATATTCAATGTCTAATTTCAAATGTTCATAAAATTAGTTTGACTTTTGGCTAAACTTTTTTTTTTGAGAAAGGTAGAAAACTTATGAAGAATCTCTTGTTAAATTTTCAAATCTTAGGTTTTGACTAACAATTTTTTATGAATTTCTAAATAAAAAGAAACTTCGTAATTTCGTTATTTTTACGTATTTCGTCAAATTTTTAACTTTACACTTATAAAAACCAATGAAATATTTACGCTCAACTTTTTTTTTAATTTTCACTCATAACAAGTTATATTTTATTAGCAATAATAAAAAAAAAACCTGACAATTTATTATGCTTGTAAATAACTCAAAGTCTAAATATTTTGAAAATTTGATGGTTTGTTGAAATTGAAAATATAAACATTTGGTAAAAATTGCCTATACTCAACTCCTTAAATATACACCACCACCAATCCTCTTAATTTTTTGTTTGTTTTTTCCGATGCGTTTAAAAACTATGAAATTTTTTACTTTTGACCCCCAAAGTACCAACAAGATTCATTTTCCTAAGAGAAAAATTTCTGGTGAAATTCGGAGCACTTTTACTGCCTTAAAACGTGACGACAGAGTACAGACACACACACACACACACACACACACACACACACACACACACACACACACACACACACACAAACACACATCATTGTATCATAATTTTATTAAGTATCATATTAATTATTTGTAGGTATGAAATCAAACAAATATGTGCCATCCATTAACTGCGTGATCAATATTATTTATCAGTTCCGTAAAATTTATATTTATATGTTCTGACCCTTAGTGATGCTGAATTTTAGAGCTGATATCTTGAATGCCTTAAATAAAAAAATCAAATTAGGTTTGTAAAATAAATAATTTTATAGACTATAGAACGTACATCTTGCAGCATCCTTCATCCTCATGAGTGACAATTAGTGTTGATTAGTTTGTAAGGTACTTGTGTGTTATTATCATTTATCTGTTATCATCATATTTATTATAGTATATTCAATTTGAATTCAATTATTTATCATTACTTACAAAAAACGATTCTGAGTGAAGACCGTCAGCATATATATACATATTATATATAATATGTGTGTGTGTGTATTATGTATATTGTATACATTACTATTTACTAGATATATTTTATGAATAATTATGATATTATAGTTATAAAAATCATTAATTTTACTATTAGTAATATAGTAGGTTGAGTTGATTTTTTATATATTCATAATATGACTTAATGTATTGTATCATATCGAACATGTTCGAATTGTATCGTTTTGGCAATATGTACCAATATCAATACTAATATCAATATATTATATGTAACTTATTAGTTATTGGTTAGTACAAAAATTAAAGACATTTATTGATGCGGATAAACACATTTTAAGAATTGTTCAAAATTATGAAACTAGAACTGAAATATCATTTTTACGCGGAATCGTACAAAATATTTCTCTGCATTAACTTAATAAAATGATCATTGTTTTTTTAATATTATAAAATAACTACATAAGATAATATTATAATTAATATAAATAACTAGCTATTTTTGACATTAAAAGCTTTTTGGATATTTATAACTTATTTATATATATAATTTTTGTTTGACGATTTTTTTTTTAGATGTTTATAAAATAAACGTTTTTATCATATAAAAATAGCCAAGCTCAATAATATGTAACCTCCTTAGATGTAGACAACCTAGGCTAGGAGCATATTATAATATTAATAATAAAAAAAAAAAAATAAATAATTTTTCATATATATTTTTAATTTTATAATATTAATTTATATATTATAATAAATATAAATAACTTATTTATTTTATTTACTGATTTATATATTATATTTATTTGTTGACGTCCTATTATCATCACGCCCAAATGGCTACGTCCATCTGTCCTAGATCGTAAATGCGGAGAAGTGTTGTACAGTTGCTAAGTATTACAAGTATTGAAGTATCTGAAAACAGATTTAAAATTTGCGTTAAAAAAAACCTGGCTGCAACCACTTTAAAAGTTTCGGCGGCGAAACGATGGTGGCGAATCGAATGGCGGCGAAACGATGGCGGCGAAATGAACGGCGGCGAAACGATGGCGGCGAAATGATCGGCGGCGAAATGAACGGCGGCGAATAAATCGGCGGCGAAATTAACGGCGGCGAACTGGTCGCGGCGA